CCTCACAGCATTTTGGCCCCTCCCACAGCATTTGGCCTCACAGCGTTTGGCCCACCTGCGTTTGGCCCACACTGCGTTTAGCCCTCACAGCGTTTAGCCCTCACAGCATTTGGCCCACACAGCATTTAGCCCTCACAGCGTTTGGCCCACACAGCGTTGGCCCACACAGCGTTTGGCCCTCGCGTTTAGCCCACACAGCGTTTAGCCCTCACAGCGTTTGTAGCCCACTGCGTTTGGCCCACACAGCGTTTGGCCCTCACAGCGTTTGGCCCACACAGCGTTTGGCCCACACAGCGTTTGGCCCACACAGCGTTTGGCCCACACTGCGTTTGGCCCACACAGCATTTGGCCCCTCACAGTGTTTGGCCCACCAGCGTAATGAAAGTTTTCCCTCTCTTTACACAGCTCTGGGTAAAATGCTCACTACTGTTCTCTTACAACCACCAGCTGGCAAATATGTACCACGACTGTTGAGAATATATATTTTTTTTTCAATACCAAATGGACAGAAATGAGAGATCAACTTGCCAACATTACCACCGAGTTGCCAACATTGCCACCATATTGCCATCATTACCACCCAGCTGCTAACACTGCCACAATACCACAACCTGACCACCACAGCTACCAATAATACCACCACACAGCTACCAACACTACCACCATACACCCTGACCACCACAGCTACCAATACTACCACCACACAATTTGACCACAATTACCAACGCTACCACCTCAGGTAAAATCATCTGGGGTGTCTAATTATCAGGTGATCCACAGGGCTGCCTACCACCATAGCCAAGGAGGGTCAGCACTCAACCCGCGGCTTGTCTGTGGTTCGGCTATCACACACACCCAGACGAGAGGAGGGAGGGAGGGAGGGAGGGAGGGAGGGATGAAGGAGGGAGGGAGAGGGAGGGAGGAGGGAGGGAGGGAGGAAGGGAGGGAGGGAGGGTAGTGAGGGATAAAGTGAGGGAGGGACCATAGGCTTTTCATCATCCTCCTCTCCTTCACACTTCTCCTCCCTCACTCTTCACCTTCTCCTCCCTCACTCTTCACCTTCTCCTCCCTCACTAATCACCCTCATCTGCCTCGCAAAGAAAACCAGCCATGAGTCAACAGAAAGAAGATAAGAGTATAAATTAGCTTGGATTTTTATGTTTCGTAAAGAATAATGGCTGCTCACTCACTCACTCAAACTCACTCACTCAAACTCACTCAATTCCCCCCTCCCTCACCCACCCACTCACTCACCTCTCAAAATAATACTAAGAGAACTTCACCTGTCTCCTGTAGCCTCTCTCTTCACTTTAAGATCTCTCAACACTATCTCTCCATCAGGTCTCTCAACGTTATCTCCCCAGAGGGTCTATCTCCCCCACCATCTCCCCATAAGGTCTCTCAACAGTATCTCCCCAAAGGGTCTATCTCCCCACCATCTCTCTCAACATTATCTCCCCAGAGGTTCTATCTCCCCCACTATCTCTCAGCATTATCTCTCCCCCGGAATCAGTCAATTTGTTCAGTCGTCATAAAGAGTTGAAATATGGTTCCTCAAGATCATTAAATCACCTTATGGATGACCGGCCTCTACGCCTCTCTACTACGGCTACTCACTACTACCACTACCACTACCACTGCTACTAATACCACTACTATTTTTTTTTAGAATTTTTTTTTAACATGGCCTCCATTCTCCCCTGTATAGCAATACCTTCGCCATCATTTTATTACCTTAAAATTAATTATCCTAATACACAAGTAGCTACCCTAGCTGTGTTGAGTTAGTTGAACCGCAGATCTATGCAGCATTCAGTGACTGTTGCCTCATAGTCAATATCTGCAGTTGTTGTCGGCTTTGGGGCCGATGCTCGCGTTCCCCTGAGGCAGAGCAAAGCCGACCTAAGGAGAGAGAAGGACAATCGACATCTCGTCCAGGCTGTAACATAATTTGTGGGCTGCTGCTTCTGTTCGGATCTCACCTCCGCGAGTCTGGCGTAGAAGCATCTTGCACTTGGTCCCATCCCACCAGAGGCTGTGAACACTAGAGGAGTGAAGCTGCCTTGATCAACGCTCTGATACTACAACTACTACTAAAGGCATATACAAACATCTTTTTATCATTAACTAATCTAAACCACATCATAAACCAACAACAATTCCACTTAAACAAGACAAACTGGTAAGACAAAAACACACTCAAGAGTCAAGACAACTCCACCCTTACCACCCAACCCACCTACCCACCACCCCAACCCACCTACCCACAACCCACCTACCCACCACCCACCCCATATCAATAACAGTATAACAGTGCTCCTAATTACACAGTTCATTTCACATAACGTTTTAAAAATAATCTGAAAATCACTTAATGGCCCCCGTGACACCACTAAACAGCTCGACCGGGCCATTAAACACGCCTATATTACCCGTGTTATCTGTCACCACTACAGCAGCGCCACTAAAATCTTTATGGTACTGTTAAATATGTCTCCAGGATATATGACTTTTCCGGCCTCTAATGGTGACTGAATTAAGTCCTAAAATATGAGTACTTAATTATTCTATATATGATTTAAAGTATAATGATGATGATAAAATAATAATAATAATAATAATAATAATAATAATAATAATAATAATAATAATAATAATAATGATGATGATGATGATGATGATGATGATGATGATGATGATGATATTGATAATAGTAAAAATAATAACAACAATAATAATAATAGTAATAATAATAATAACAATAATATAATAATAATAGTAATAATAATAGCCAATATCACCGCCAACATAGCCAATATCACCGCCAACATAGCCAATATTACCACCAACAACGCCAATATTACCGCCAACATCACCGCCGGGAAACACAAAATTCGCCATTACTGAGACACGTAAAATAGCTCCCCAGTGACCCGAATATATGAGTCTATCGCCCACGCTCACTAGTGAACTTCAGGCCTTGAGTACTATGATCAACACCTCGAGCACTATGAATTAACCTCTTGAAGTACGATACCTTAACCCTTTGAGTACGATACCTTAACCCCTTAAGTACGATACCTTAACCCCTTGAGTACGATACCTTAACCCCTTGAGTACGATACCTTAACCCCTTAAGTACGATACCTTAACCCCTTAAGTACGATACCTTAACCCCTTAAGTACGATACCTTAACCCCTTAAGTACGATACCTTAACCCCTTAAGTACGATACCTTAACCCCTTGAGTACGTTACCTTAACCCCTTAAGTACGATACCTTAACCCCTTGAGTACGATACCTTAACCCCTTAAGTACGATACCTTAACCCCTTAAGTACGATACCTTAACCCCTTAAGTACGATACCTTAACCCCTTGAGTACGTTACCTTAACTCCCAAGTACGATACCTTAACCCCTTGAGTACGATACCTAACCCCGGCACGATACCTTAACCCTTGAGTACGATACTCAATCTTTGAGTATTTATACCTTAACTCTATGTTTATACTCAACCCTGAGTAATATTACCTTTTCTAACCCCTTAAGTACGATACCTTAACCCCTTGAGTGCGATACCTTGACCCCTTAAGTACGATACCTTAACCCCTTGAGTACGTTACCTTAACCCCTTGAGAACAATATCTTAACACCATGAGTACGATACCTAACTTTAAGCACGATATTCATCTTTGAGTGCGATACCTTGACCCCTTAAGTACGATACCTTAACCCCTTGAGTACGTTACCTTAACCCCTTGAGAACAATATCTTAACACCATGAGTACGATACCTTAACCCCTTGAGTACGATACCTTAACCCCTTAAGTACGATACTTTAACCCCTTGAGTACGTTACCTTAACCCCTTGAGAACAATATCTTCACACCATGAGCACGATATCTTAACCTCTTGAGTACAATATCTTAACCCCTTGAGTACGATACAAATTCTACCTATATAAATTATCGGAACAATTTTTAACTCAAAATATATTAACTTTTTGACAATAATTTCAAAATCTAAAAAAAAAAAATTAATATTTTGCAATACTTTCAAAATCTAAAAAAGTATACTACCTTTTGTTAATATTTTCCAAAGCTTAAAAAAATACTGTATATTAACTTTTTTGTGCAATAAATTCCAAAAAATCTAAAAAAATAAATAAAAAATAAAAAAAATCAACGAGACATAAACGAGCCCACAAACCCGTATCTCATATCAAGACATATTACTACGAACAATTTTATCTGGGCAGTTAATGATCCGAGTTTTAATTAGATTCGAAACTTTTGCAACCTGGGAAAAAAACGCAAAGTAAAAGTAAAAAAAAAAAAAAGTTTAAAAGTTAACAATAAGTGGAGCGAGTAATGAAGGATGGTAAGGGAAGAAGGGAGGGAGGGGGGGCAGGGAGGGGAGGATGGTGGGGGGCAAAGAAAGAGAGGGGGAGGTATGATAGTGTGAGGGAGGAAGAGGAGGAGGAGAGTTCTGAAGCAAGCCAGCTAGCCACCCTCCTTCCCTCCCTCCCTTCTTTCACCTTACCTCACCTCACCTTACTTGATTTGATATGACCTTACCTCACCTCCAACACTCGACACACCTCCAACAGTCGACACACCTCCAACACTCGACACACCTCCAACACTCGACACCCATCCAACACTCGACACACCTCCAACAGTTGACACATCTCCAACACTCGACACACCTCCAACACTCGACACCCCTCCAACACTCGACACATCTCCAACACTCGACACACCTCCAACAGCTGACACATCTCCAACACTCGACACCCCTCCAACACTCGACACACCTCAAGTCCCCCCTGCCATCAGTCTATTTTCATTACATCAGCTGCCAAGTGTAGCACAGACCATAGTAGGTGTACACAGGTGAGACTTTGACAAGTGAAGCTCTAATAAATGAAGCTCTCACAGATGAAGCTCACACAGGTGAAGCTCTAACAGATGAAGCTCACACAGGTGAAGCTCTAGCAGATGAAGCTCTCACAGGTGAAACTTCTGGCAGGTGAAGCTCTAACAGATGAAGCTCTAACAGATGAAGCTCTCACAGGTGAAACTTCTGGCAGGCGAAGCTTTAATTGGTGAAAGTTTCTGGCAGGTGAAGCTTCCTAATAGGTTAATAGGTGAAGCTCTAACAAATGAAACTTCCCGGCAGGTGTATGAGCTTCCCTTAGGCTTTGTGCAGGTACAATAAAACTTACCCAACACCGGATATGCAAATGAGTTCCTGTGTAGTCATTTTCCTTTTTTCTTTTTTTCTTTAAGGTATGACTTTAGTTATGAGTCCAGAGTCGCGGTCGTTAGCGCTAAAAGCTCAGGCGGTGGTACTTTACGACTGAGGCTGTGTTGGCTCAAGGTGTGTCTGTGTGTGTGGGTGTGTCTGTCTGTCTGTCTCTTTCTAATACACACACACACACACACACACACACACACACACACACACACACACACACACACAAAGTCTAAAATCAACTACCTCTTATGTAATAATAATGGTTACCCCTCGTGTACGAGGATGGCCGGCCCAAGGGCCACCTCGGCATGAATTTGTTTAAGGTGTAGAAGCTGTCGCCAACACAACAACCACACCCTGAGTTAACGAGCTGCATGACCCAGTGTCAAGGAATAGTCCAAGAAGACCGGACAACTCGCCAACTGCACTGGGTAACCATTACACCGAAACACGATCCACAAATCGATTAACATCCAGGTTCCCAATTACTGCTGGATAGACAGAGGCAAATGGCGTAAAGAATCTTGTCCATAGTATCACCCTGCCCGGGGATCGAACCCGTGTCCGCTCGCATGCTGACCATTATACCATACACAACAACATACTTAAAAGACTGATAAACTCGCTTCACTAAGACTAAAATTAATAAAGACTGACCCTACCATAAGTCTGAAATAATTCAAATTTGCTTCGCTAAGACTAAAATGAATCAAGACTTTACACAACATTAAGAAGACTTACCAAAGACCAAACTGGTGTATTAAAGTAAGCCAATTTAACCCCACACGTGAATTAACGGCTGATATACTGAGTCACGGCCGATCGCTTCTTTATGGGACGGTGAGCGTTAAGTAAAGGTTAATATACTGATAACCTCCTGATAATGCTCACTGTGTCCTATACTAACGCTCACTATCTATCTATCTATCTATCTATCTATCTATCTATCTATCTGTGTGTATTTCTTATCTCCCGCTCACTTGAAATCTTACACAACCAAACTTCAGGTTAGATTAGGTTAGGTTAGATTAGATTAGGTTAGGTTAGGTTAGGTTAGAATAAATTACGTTGGGTTAGGTTAAGCTAAATTAGATCGTACAGAAAACTCTTAAATTTGGCTTTGTTTACGAGTGAAATTACCCCCACTAATTATACCACCATCTTATTTACGTCTCGCTCGACCGCTGTAAAAGATGACACAACTTCCCGCGGTTTTCGAAAATAAATCTGTAAAAAAAAATGGAAATAAGTAACTATAACGAGGTAGTTTAGCACAAGAGTGGATTTAGGGAAGACTCTTAACTGCTGGTAAAGATATCAAGTGAACGAGGGATTAAATGGATAGATAAATAGATTTTTTTTTTTACGGGGATTAGCCCACCCGGGCACAGGTCACTGACCCACATCGGGGCCTGGGGGGCGAAAATGTAAAAATATAAGATATATAGTTTAGAGAGAGAGAGAGAGAGAGAGAGAGAGAGAGAGAGAGAGAGAGAGAGAGAGAGAGAGAGAGAGAGAGAGAGAGTCCCCCTAAAACAGTTACCAAACAAGTAAAGTCTATCCAAACACATCATTCACTTAGACACACACACACACACACACACACACACACACACACACACACTAAGTATGTAAATTATTTCGGTATATATTCATTAACAATAACAAATAATCACACCACAAACCTATAACACAAAAAATAACAAATATATTAATTATTTTCTCTGTAAGGATTTTGTTTTTACATTTAATTTCGCTGAATAACTCTTCATTAAAATATAAAATAATATTACATTTGTTACTGAACTTAAATCACCTCGTTAGTTACACACGCGGCCATCTTGTAACCAGTCGACCAATCACAGTTACGCTTTCCAAACATACCGACCAATCACATGTGAATTAAAGAGTTACGATCTTTTATCTGCCTGAGATAACTCTATGTAACGTGGTAAATACATAGAACCTCCTCGTCAGTACAATAAACGTAATTCATACATAAAATATACACAACCAATGTATATACGTAACATACATAACCTATACATATACGCAACATATACATAACCTATACATATATACATCTGATGACAGGGATGCGTCGGTGAGGACCTGCGCCTCCAACAAGGGCTTCGTCGCCATGGTGTGAGTGAGGTGCTGCTCCTACAACACTGCCTCCACTAACTGCAGCAGAAGGTGGTGGTGGTGGTGGTGGTGGTACTACTATACATGCAGCAGTAGGAGACACCATTTTAAAGCTGGCCTAAACACCTTCTGTACCTTCAGGAGCGAGATGCAAGTGTGTTTGGCGAGTAAGCCTTACCTCCTTCACCTTCAGGAGTAGAAAGTGGATGGGGAGGAGAGAGGGAGCTTAGTGGAGGAGAATGACAGGGAAGAGAGGATGGAAGGGAGGCTTAAAAAGGAGAGAGAGAGGGGGGGGGGAAGGGAGGTAGAGGGAATTGAGGGAAGGAACGGAATGGAGGGAGGGTGAGTAAAGGAGGAGGTAGAGAGAAGTGGGAAATGGGGAGGGAAGAACGAATGGGAGGAGGAGGGACGGAAGGAGGAGTTACTGTCTCACAGCCCAGACTCCAAAAATTTTCCGATATTGATTAAGCTTCAGCCAAACGTGCCAGACTTAACTTGTCGACGTTCCAGCGTGGGGGGGTGAGGGAGGTAGGGAGGGAGGGGAAGGGGGAGGACGTGGGGGGAGGGAGAAGGAATGCGTGGGTGGAGGGAGGGAGGGAGAGAGGGAGGGAGAAGAGCGGGATGAGGGAGATAGGGAGGAAGGGAGAAAGAACCATGGGTCGAGAGAAATACTGTATACCTATTTATATAATCTAAATGAAAATAAGCTGCCGGCAAAGTCCTACTCACAGAGAGAGAGAGAGAGAGAGAGAGAGAGAGAGAGAGAGAGAGAGACACGCCATGTACCCCAATTTCACAGACAGATTTCTTGATTTTACGAGAGAACCAAATTTTTCATTCCGCGTTCTTAAACTATTTCAAAATCCTCCGTTCTTGTTTACATTTTGTGAAATTAAACGTCCAAATTAGGTGAGGTTACGTTAGGTTATCTATGGTATGTTAGGTTAAATAGTTTAAATTTGATTAAACTAAAATAGATTACGTTAGGATTAATTAGATTAGATTAAGTAAGGTTATATAAGCTTAAGTTAGGGTGTTTAATCTTAAGACGAACGAAATAAGCTGGAGAGAGAGAGAGAGAGAGAGAGAGAGAGAGAGAGAGAGAGAGAGAGAGAGAGAGAGAGAGAGAGAGAGAGAGAGAGAGAGAGAGAGAGAGAGACTGACTAATCTTTTCGTGATCCAAGTTTCCACATTTACATTTTCTTTATCTAAGCTTTCTAATTCCACCACCAACTATTCCATTAAGCAAAAACCTTAAGATTTTTCCTCCACACACACACACAGAGGCTAGTGGAGCCGAGTTGTTGCATGCTAGAAAGGCACAGATCTCTCGCCATAGATAACATTAAAGTGGCGGTGACCTAGCGTGTGTGTGTGTGTGTGTGAGGGAGGGACACACACACACACACACACACACACACACACACACACACACACACACACAGCAGTATAATACGACCCAACAATTTAACACAAGTACTACAACTCATTAACGTGATATACAAGCATGTATTACTGTGTTACAATATGTATGGTTGTGTGGTGGCTAAAAGCTCTGTACCTTGACATGATATTCACTTCAATTCCCTTACTCACTCACTTCAGCGTGTTCACTTCAACTTACTTCAGCCTCATCACTACACGATATTCACTTCAACTTACTTCAATCTCCTCATTTCACCTTGCTCACTTCGGGTCTTCACTTCAACTTACTTCAGTCTCCTCACTTCATTAACACATCTGAACATCCTCACTTCAACTTACTTCAGTCTCCTCACTTTACCTCACTCCTCTGAACATCCTCACTTCACCAAGAGACAAAACACTACATTTACCTGTACATGACAACACTACCTGCCTAATTAATAATCAACAGGTGTTCCTTTATAATTCAAATTTAACATTACTCCATGTTTTTATATATACTTTTTTCTGGACATTTTAAATCAGTATCACAACCAACGTTCAACATATCATATACGGCGCTGCTATACTCCCATATACTGTTTACGCTTGGCTCTACTGCGATGTTATATGTCTGCTCTGCTATACTGCTCTGTAAATATAACTCCCAGCACTTCATATATTGTGCTGCTATACAATGAAATATATTCCAAGTCCTAATAAGGCCCTTTCGCTATACTGCTCTATGTAGTATACTCCTGGTGCTATACCGTAGCTGCTATACTCTGTTGTAATATATCCCTATAATATATCTTAAGCTGCCAATGTCTAGCACTGTCTTGTTATAATGTCTACTGTATGTCTGATGCGAGAACGTCGGTCGGTCTGTCTGTCTGTCTGTGTGTCTACTGTACTGAGAACCATTCCTTAAGCCATATAAGCAGCAGGAAGGTCTCCCCCAGCAGCAGGAAGAAGGTCTCCCCCAGTAGCAGGAAGGTCTCCCCAAGCAGCAGGAAGAAGGTCTCCCCCAGCAGCAGGAAGAAGTGCCCCCCAGCAGCAGGAAGTCTCCCCAGCAGCAGGAAGAAGGTCTCCCCAGCAGCAGGAAGAAGGTCTCCCCCAGCAGCAGGAAGAAGGCCCCCAGCACACAGGAAGAAGGCCCCCCAGCAGCAGGAAGAGGGTCTCCAGCAGCAGGAAGAAGGTCTCCCCCCAGCAGCAGGAAGAAGGTCTCCCCCCAGCAGCAGGAAGAACCCCCCCAGCAGCAGGAAGAAGGTCTCCCCAGCAGCAGGAAGAAGGTCTCCCCCAGCAGCAGGAAGAAGGGCCCCCCAGCAGCAGGAAGGCTCCCCCCAGCAGCAGGAAGAAGGCCCCCAGCAGCAGGAAGAAGGTCTCCCCAGCAGCAGGAAGAAGGTCTCCCAGCAGCAGGAAGAAGGTCCCCCCAGCAGCAGGAAGAAGGCCCCCAGCAGCAGGAAGAAGGTCTCCCCCAGCAGCAGGAAGAAGGTCCCCCAGCAGCAGCCACCCCAGAAAGAAGGTTCCCCAGTAGCAGGAAGTTCTCCCCAGCAGCAGAAAGAAGGTCTCCCCAGTAGCAGGAAGGTTCCCCACAGCAGGAAGGTCTCCCCGAGCAGAAAGAAGGTCTCCCCAGCAGCAGGAAGGTCTCCCAGCAGCAGAAGAAGGTCTCCCCAGTAGCAGAAAGAAGGCCCCCCAGCAGCAGGAAGAAGGTCTCCCCCAGCAGGAAGAAGGTCTCCCCAGCAGCAGGAAGAAGGTCTCCCCCAGCAGCAGGAAGAATCTCCCCAGCAGCAGGAAGAAGGTCTCCCCCAGCAGCATTAATAATAGTCTCCCGCATCTTTAATATAAAACGGACCTCCCCAGATACTCCCTCAGGAAATTATTGATAATTTCACTTCTGTTCGATTTCCGACGAAGTAAAATAAATATGTCGTTTGATTCTCCTCCTAGATGTGTTCCTTTAAGAGAGTCGTTAATATATTCGGTATTGACTTGTGGGACCATCTGAGGAGGTTAGGTTAGGTTAGGTTGGGTTGTTTTCAGTCAGGTTGGGTTAGGTTACAACCGGGTAGGTTGCTAGGTTAGCATTAGAGTGGTTAATCTTCAGGTAAAATATGCTGGTGGGATTAATCTTCAGGTGATCTGATTTACCCACTGATATACAAACACGGACTCTGGTTATACTGCGCCAAGACGTTAAAATTTCTAAATGTTAAAGATCATTTTATCATTTACAAACGTTCACTCATTATATATAAAAATACATATAAGTGTACGAAAAAATATGGAAAATTTCAAAATCTTTAGCTAAATGTCAAACCCGCCTGGATAAAGAAGCAATCATCCACTTCCAACAAGACCGGGAGGGAGAGAAGGAGGGAAAGAGGGAAGGAGGAAGGAGGGAGGAGGGGAGGAGGGAGGAGGGAGGAAGGAATGGGACGGAGGGAGGGAGGGGAGGGGAGGAGGGAGGTAAGGAGGAAGGAGGGAAGGAGGAAAGGGAGGAAGTAAGGGAGGAGAGAGAGTCACCATCTGGACACCATCAACAAACTCACAGCGACTGATAATTTTCACTGTTAATATAACGTCAAGGTTGCACCACACACACAGCACAGCGTCCACACACACACACACACACACACACACACACACACACAGGAGAGAGGGAGGAAGGATTAAGGTTAGGCGGGAGGCGATTGGGAAGGGAGGAACACCTGAGGGGGAGGAGGGGAAGCGTGAGACAAACATTCAAACAGGACTCCGAAAACACCCGTAGGATCTCTTGTGTGTTGGGTCCTACAGGTCCTGTCCATCGAAATCCAAGTCCTTTGGCGACATCAACTCAGGTCACTCCTGCGTCCGTCTGTCTGTCTGTCTGTCTGTCTGTCTGTCTTATTGCGTAGAAGGGATAAGGAAAGGGAATAAATGATGGGAGAGGAGAATGAGGAAGGGGAGAGGAGAAGGAGACAGGGTGAAGGAAGAGGGGGAATAAAAGATAGAAGAGGAGGAAGATGGGAAAGAGAGGAGGAGGAAGCAGAGAAAGAAAGGAGAATATAGACAGATGGAAAGGAAGAGAGATATACATAAAGAAATACAGAGAACGTGAAATAAGAAGAGAGAGAGAGAGATAGAGAGAGAAATTGCCACAAAGGGATGAGGAAAGCGTCTCTCAGTGAGGTATATAATTATCTCATTAAAGGAGGCATCGCCGAGGTAACGAGCGAAGAATGAGACGAGGGAGAGATAAATGGCCAGTGAGAGATGAGGGAGAGACTTGTGAATCTCTCTCACCCTGATATTATTTCTCATTATAAGGGATTTTAGGGGTGGAAGGGGGGAAGAGGTGGGAAGGGGATGGCGGAGAAAGGGGAGAGGGAGGGTTTTTTGTACTTAAATGGGTGTTTTTATTTAAGGAATTTCTGTACCTAAGGGGTTTTTAGTATAGGATAATGAGTTTTATAATTACGTTAAGGGGAGCTAATGGGTGTTTTGTGTTTTTTATAATTAACTTGATTTTAGGATAGATGAGGGATTTTGTACTTCCATTAACTTACATCAGCTGATATTTCAAAGTTTGTCAGACTCGTATCGTCAGCGGAAGTCAGCAAATTCATCATGACACTTAAATCGTCAGCTGGCATCAGACAATTTAGTAATCATGCTTAGCGCCTTCAGCAGATGTTGGATACTTCACTATGCTCGCGTCGTCAGCATAAATCGGAAACTTTGTAACACGTAAATCGTCAGATGATGTCAGACAGTCCATAATGCTCGCGCCGTCAGCAGACGTCAGGAACATCCCTCAACTTCGGGTCATTGTGCTCACCAACAGAGGCTCAACAAGGTCAGTCCATCACACTACAGTCATCAGCCCAGCCTCGTCCTGTCAGCAAATGTCAAACTCACTCTCTCACTCTGACAAACATCGGTCGTTAATTTTTTTGAGGTGCGAATGAGTGAAGGAATGGGTGGAGTGAGCAGGAGCGAGCGAGTAGTGAGTGAGTGAATGTGTGTGTGGGTGTGTGTGTGTGTGTGTGTGTGTGGCGGCGGCGCCAGCCAGGACGGTCGTCGACTCCTGCCTCTCCGCCATCCAATTTGTGCCGCTAAACTGGTTTGTGCCGCCAACCCTCCAGGGCTTAGGTTAGGTGAGAGACAGAGAGATAAGAGATAGCAGAGATGGGAAGAGAGAAAAGAGAAGGGTGAATGAAAGTAAGTGAATGGGAGGGAGGGAACAAGAAAGGAAGAAAGAGGGAGAGAAGGAAGGAAGGAAGGAAGGAATTGGGGAGGGAAAAAGTTAGGGAGAGAGGGATTAAGAGAGGAATGAAGGGAGGGGGAGGAAAGGGCGAAAGGAAGGAAGGAAGGAAGGAGGGGAAAATGAGGTAAGGAGGGAAGGGAAGGGAGGGAGGGAGAAGGGAGGAAGAAGGAAGGAATGCAGGAAGGCAGGAATGAAGGTAGGGAGGAAGGAAGGGAGGGATGGAGGAAAGGAAAGGAAGGAAGAAAAGAAGGAAGGGTTTGAGGGAAGGAAGGAAGGGAAGGACACCAGGTTGAATCCCTCCCTGTTCCACCATTCAATCTGAGCTGGTAAACTGATTTGTGCCGCCAACCCTCCGGGGCTATGGTGGAGGGAGAGAAGGTGAGAGGGAGAGAAGGTGAGAGGGAGAGAGGGAGAGAGGGAGAGAAGGTGAGAGGGAGAGAAGGTGAGAGGGAGAGGTATGGAAGGATGGTGGTAGGGAGGGAAGGAAGATGCGAAGGATGATGAGAGGGACTTCAGAGAGAAAGAGGGAAGGGAGGGAAGGAAGGATAGATGACGGAATGGGAGGGTGAAGGATTAGCAGGAAGGGAGTTAGTAAAGGAAAGAGGGTAAGTGGGAGGGAGGGAAGGAGAGTGGACAGGTGAGAGGGAGAGAAGGAGAGAGAAAAGGGTGAAGCGTGGAAGGTGTGAGGAGAGTTGATGAAGATTAGAGATAAGATAAAGAATGATGAAAGGGACATAAGAAGGAGGATAAACGAGAGAGAGAGAGAGATCAAAGGAAAGGTAAAAAGTGCAACTCATGGAAAAAATGGGTAAAAGGGACATGAAGAAAGGATGAGGAAGGCGGAAAGAGAGGAGAGGGGAGGGAGGGAGGAGGGGTTGTGGAGGGGGGAGAGAAATAAGGAAGGAAGGAAGGAAGGAGAAGGAAGGAAAGAAGGAAAGAAGGAAGGAAGGAAGGAAGGAAGGAGGTCGTGGAAAGGATCATGGAGGGAGGGAAGGGAAGAAGGGTCGTGATGGGAGGGAAAGAGAAAAGAATGGAAGGAAGGAGGGAAGGAGGGAACGAAGGCAGGAAGGAAGGAAGAAAGGAGGGTCGTGGAGAGGTGCCTTGAGTTACTACACACACCTGAAGAGATTAAGAGTAGATTTCAGAAGCGGTAAAAGTGAGGCACAATTAATGGTCCAAGTTGTCACCAAGTTCAGTTATGGCTTCCCGGAGCTGGTGAAGTCTTCTGGTGAGGGGAGGGCGTTCAGGACACCTTTGGAGGGGCTGTAGGGAGGAGGGAAGGTGGCCGTTGGAGAGAGAGACACACACACACACACACACACGTCTTCCTCCTCCTCCATTACCCATAGTCCTATACCAAGTGTGAGGAACCGTTAAGGGCAGTGCGGATATAGTACACTGAATACTAGGCCTCGGTACACAAGCAGACAAGTAACCAACACTGTACTCGACGGCCTTCACACCAACAACTGAAAGGTGGGTATGTATTCTCAGCTGGGTCGACTGGGGGTGCCCCGGCGTTGTATACATAATAATCGATAATTAATGAGGATACATCCTCAGCTGGGTCGACTGGGGGTGCCTCGGGTAACCATAATAATCGATAATTAATTTTGCTCTGTGAAAGACGTTAATGTTGTCTTGTGGAGCCGAAACACGAAAAGTTTATCTGAGAAAAGTTTGGTTTAATTCCTTCCCTGGGAGATGAGGACCATTCAGTGAGGGTCCTTGTGCTGTGAGGGGAGGTGCTGTGAGGGGAGGTGCTGTGACGTGTTGTGATGTGTTGTGTGGAACTGTGGCGTGTTGGGAGTGTTGAAAGGTGCTGTGGTGTGTGGAGCTGTGATGTGTGGTGCTGTGATGCGAGGTGCTATAACGTGCTGTGTGTAGCTGTGATGTGCTGTGAGATGATGAGAGATACTTAAAATCCTTTACTAATTAATAAAAAAATACCAATAAAAATAAAAATAAAATGAAAAAAGATCAGAGAAAGAAATTGATATGTAAAGGTGTTTTGGTAAATTGGCAGAGGAACAACAGTGGTGGGTGAGACGGAGCTGAGGAACCCGCTAGGACTAACACATTACTACTACTACCACCACCACCACTACTACTACTACTACTATTAATGAACCGTAGGCCTATCCACCTCCCAGGGTAGGAAACATCACAATATTCAAAAATAAAAACATAAATTAAAAATAACTTTGCGGTACCTTTACTAAAATGAGCAAGATGTGTCCGTTAGAATATAAATTAAATATCCACGTCAGAAAATCAAAATTCACTCCACGTGCAACACCACAGACCCTTTATAATCTAGAATGAGGAGCTGAAAGCCTTAAAATCTAGTGATATATATAAACCACAGTGATCGAAACTCCCTGTCCACCTGTAACAATTAACAGTATACTATTCCTTGTTATAACCT